ATTGCTATCATTTAGTGATTACATAGTAAGAAGTATTTAGGCCGAGTTGCCAACTGAAAACAGAAATTTAGGCCGAGATGCCAATTGAAAACAACTTTAATGCATTTGGTTTGATGAAAGCTCCAATTAAAAGCAACATTTATTTCTTCGATCAGATCCCAGTGGTCTATTTGTAAACGTATCAGAGGGTCTTAGGCTCATGACGAGGTGCTATCAAATACGTTTCACACTTTTATCTCTGGTTTCATTATAAGAGTGACAGTCAATCTTACCATTTAATTAAGAGTAACCGCTTCAGGCCGCGGGTCCTGCCAACTAGTTGTCTTCTCTCTGGTCCACAGTTGAACCATAGTGAGTCTCTGACCGAGCTGTCTAGACAATTCTGAATTTAACAATCCTTCAGCCAAACAAACAATCCTTTTACAATAATTTCATTTCACTGTTTTCATCGTATTTTAATCTTTTCCTGTTTTTGTTTGACGTGTCACTTCAAACACTTGCCTTGAAATGTTGAGGTGAATCAGTAGCTTTGCTGATAAAGTTCAAAAATGAGGGTCATAAAGAGGATCGTGAACGTCTTTAACATATCTAGAAGACATTTTAGTCTTGTAATTTAAACAAATCTTTGCCTCCCTGTGGTTATTAATAAATTTCAGGGCTAATAATGCTAAAAATCGGAGTTTCAGAATTTGATAACCATGGTGGGCACAGTGCAGATAGCCCGTTGCATAGCTTTGCCCTTAAGAATAAACAAATTAAATAAGTTTGTTTGTAGTTAAGCACAAAGCCAAACAATGGGCTATCTGTGCTCGGCTCATCACGGGTGTCGAAACCCGATTTTTTGTGTTGTAAGTCCGCAGATATACCACTGTACCAATGGGGGTAAAATAAATAAGACTGACTGGAATTTGGCAGAGGCTAGAGGAAAAAGCATTTCAGAAATATTAGAGGGCGGCAAAGAATCACGCCACAGCTGCTATTGGAAGCTATTTCTAAATATAATGAATAATGGAGAGACATGACTGCATTCTACAGATCGGATAATGACTATAAATGAGCATTTCCATAAAATGGATTGCTAATATTGCAAAGTATTAAAATAAAGATTAAGATTTTACTAGTCAAATGATAAGAAATAATTATGTTGTTGTTTGAATTTAAGAACAAATCTATACAATAGGTTATTTGTTCTCTGTCTACCACGGGTATCGAAACCTGGTTTCTAGCGTTGTAAGTCCACAGACATACCGCTGTGCCACTGGGAGGAGGTATAATTATGTTATATATATACATTAAGAATATCAACGGGTTTGTAAGAAATCAAATATTTTTCTCAAATAATACATTCAAAAGTTGCATATATATCTAACTTTTTAATTTTATTCTCATTCAAAATTATGCTAATGCGTGCTGTTTGTTTTATTATTATTATTTTGAAGGGGCGATAAGAAAAAATTCGTTGCGGAATATATTAGAGAAACCATAAAAGTGAAAAACAACAGAAGAGTTGTCAGACATTTTGGGGAAATAAATAAATACATGACAATCTAATCTAAAAGACAAGATATGGAAAATGCAGGAGAAGCGTATGAGTCCATGGAAATCTAGCGTAAACGTGTTATAGGTAGCGACACAATAAGTTGAAAAAACCACGAGAGACATTAACGTGGAAGTACCAGACTAACTATACGTCGCGCTGTACGTGAGCACGAGAGAGGGGAATGTGAAAGTACTAGAACGGTATGTACCACCATTTATACGTAAACAGTAGAAAAAAGAAAGTGAAAGTAATTTGTTCGACCGGAACGTGAAAAAAGAAAGCGAAAATATTATACTAGCTCTGTAACGTGATGAACAAAAGTAAAGTAAAGAAACTGAATGTAACATGTCAACTGTACAACTGTTAGATATAAATATTAGAAAAAGGAAAGTGATCATAAAACATATCCATTGTAACAGTTTGAAGTGTATGAGGGACATATGAAACTGAATGTCACTAGTTGCATGCAAAATGTTGAAGAGATGGATGAGGGACAATGAATCTGAAAGTATAAGTAGTTAAATGTGCAACATGATAAATAGATGGTTGAGAGACAATGAAGTTGAATAAGACTAGATGTGCAACGTATTGAAGAGGTGGTTGAGAGACAATGAAGCTGAATATGACCAGCTGTGCAAAGAATTGAATAGGTGGCTGAGTGACATTGATGCTTAATATAAGTGGCTAGCTCCATGTAACATGTCGAAGTGATAACTGAGGGATAATAAAGCCGAACGTAATAGACTAGCTGTGCAACGTGTTGAAGAGGGGTTGAGGGACAATGAAGCTGAACGCAGCTACATGTGAAACGTAATGAAGAGGTGACTGAGGGACAGTGAAGGTTCAACATATTGAAAAACAGTGAAATTGAACGTGACTAGTTGCATGAAAGGGGCTAAAGAGACAGATGGGGGACAATTAAGCTGAAAGCAAGTGACTAGGTTCATGCAACGTGTTGAAAAGGTGGTTGAGGGACAGTGTGACTATCTGTGTAACGGATAAAAAGATGGCTGGGTGACAATGAAGTCCAATGTAAGAGGCTACTCTGCAATGTAATAAACAGGTGGTTGAGGGACAATGAATCTCAAGGTAATAAAGTAACTCTTACTCTCATATTTCAAGTTGCTTTTTAAGAACATTGAGTCGTATTTTCTGAATACTTTTTATCGTATAATATATTTTCTTAATATTTCAAACAGGATGCTTAATCTCTATTACGTTGTTTTTTCATCAATATTTGACTCATCTGTATAAGATACAGACCATACACTTCTCTGTTTCCTTTCTTAATGTTGTTTTTATCATTCTAACTTATTTATTTAAACTTTGTAAACGATTGAATTTGATTAGGTTTGTTGTGTTAGAGCAAAGCCATATTGGGCTATCTGCTGTATCCACCGCGATGAATCCAACCCTGGATTTTAGCGTTGTAAGTTCATAAACGTACCGCTGTTTCAATGGGGAACAAATTTCATTAAGATTGTTTGTTTGCCGTCCCTACTTTAGCAGTGAAAGACTAGAGGGAAGGCAGCTAGTCATCACCACCCACCGCCAACTCTGGAACTACTTTTTTTACCAACGAATAGTTGGATTGACCGTCACATTATGACGCCCCCACGGCTGAAAGGGCGAGCATGTTTGAATTTCATTAAGAAAATAGCAATTAAAAATACAAAATTACAATCGAAAGACTTAGCGCTTTCTCGTTAGTGGTATATTTTACTCACTCAATGCCTAAGCAAATTGAAATGGACCTACTAGAAATGAATAAAAACCCTATAACCCGAGCGCTTTCGAAAGGTGGACCTATCTTTTTTGAAGAAGAATGGTCTTATCCTTTCGAAAGCGGT